CAGTGTATTCATTTTAGGGGGGAGGGAAGAGGGCAGAGTGGTGGGAGGTGGGGCAATGTGTTAACTTGCAGAGAGGGCACTGTATTAAATTGGGGAGGGAGGGGGACAGTGTATTGAAGTGGGGGATGGCAATGTATTAAAATAGAGTGGTGGGGGGAGGGGCAGTGCATTTAGAGTGGAGGGGGAAGGGGCAGTGTATTAGATTGGGTGAAGGGGACAGTGTATTAGAGTGGAGGGAGGGCAGTGTGTATTTTGGCCCAGGGGAATGTCATGTATGGGATTGTGGGCAGTGTCTTAGAATGGGGGAGGAGGCAGTGTAGTAGATTAAGGGCAGTGTATTAGATTGGAATTTGGGAGGGCAGTGTATTAGGTGGGTGGAGGGTGTGGCTTTGGTTGAGGAAATGTATGGGATTGTGGGCAGTGTCTTAGAATGGGGGAGGGGGCAGTGTATTAGATTAAGGGGCAGTGTATTAGATTGGGTGGAGGGGCAGTGTATTAGAGTGGCTGGAGGGGGCAGTGTATTTGATTTGAGGGAAATGTATGGGATTGTGGGCAGTGTCTTAGAATGGGGGAGGGGCAGTGTATTAGATTAAGGGGCAGTGTATTAGATTGGGTGGAGGGGGCAGTGTATTTGATTTGAGGGAAATGTATGGGATTGTGGGCCGTGTCTAGAATGGAGGAGGGGGCAGTGTATTAGATTAAGGGGCAGTGTATTAGAATGGGTGGAGTGGCAGGGTATAAGAGTGGAGGGAGGGGGGCAGGGTATTGGATTTCGGGGCAATGTATTGGATTTGTGAGCAGTGTTTTAGAGTGGAGGGAGGGGGCAGTGTATTGGATTTGTGGGCAGTATTAGAATAGGAGGAGGGGGCAGTGTATTAGATTGGGTGGAAGGGCAGAGTATAATTCAATTCATGTATTGAATTTGGGGGCAATGTATTGGATTTGTGAGCAGTGTGTTAGAATGTAGGGGGGGCAGTGTATTGGATTTGTGGACAGTGTATTAAAGGGACACTATAGTCACCTGAACAATTTTAGCTTAATGAAGCAGTTTTGGTGTATAGAACATGCCCCTGCAGCCTCACTGCTCAATTCTCTGCCATTTAGGAGTTAAATCCCTTTGTTTATGAACCCTAGTCACACCTCCCTGCATGTGACTTGCACAGCCTTCCATAAACACTTCCTGTAAAGAGAGCCCTATTTCTGTTTAATTAAGATTTTCTTATCCCCTGCTATGTTAATAGCTTGCTAGACCCTGCAAGAGCCTCCTGTATGTGATTAAAGTTCAATTTAGAGATTGAGATACAATTATTTAAGGTAAATTACATCTGTTTGAAAGTGAAACCAGTTTTTTTGTGGCTAGGGCTGCATAAACAGAAACAAAGTGATTTAACTCCTAAATGACAGTGAATTGAGCAGTGAAATTGCAGGGGAATGATCTATACACTAAAACTGCTTTATTTAGCTAATGTAATTTAGGTGACTATAGTGTTCCTTTAAATTGGGGAGGAAGGGGGACAGTGTATTGAATTGGGGGGAGGGCAGTGTATTCAATTAGATTGGGGGAGGAGGGACAGTGTATTAGATTAAGGGGCAGTGTATTAGATTGGGTGGAGGGAGGGGGGCAGTGTATTCGACTAAGGGGCAGTGTATTAGATTGGGTGGAGTGGCATAGTATAAGAGTGGAGGGAGGGGGGCAGTGTATTGGATTTGGGGGCAATGTATTAGAATGGGTGGAGGGGGCAGTGTATTAGATTGGGTCTGCATGGAGATGCGGATTGACCGCGCAGTTTTTTTCTACACATACACAATAGCCTCCCAATGCTTTTCTATGGGAAAGCATTGGATTGGCTGAGATCGTCACGTTTGATGGTCTCAGCCAGAGTGAAGAACACACTCACAGGACTTTAAAATCAACAAGATAACGTCATTTGTTTTTAACAGCTATGCAACAGCATACATTCACCATTTTAGACCCATTACCAAACTTTTCTTAATATGTCAGGGTAGTTGGACTGAAACATTGGTTATATGCAAATTCACGTCTCCTTAAAATTAATTCACTCTGTTTACTTTGAAGCTCTACAAGCGTGAGGACGTCCAGTGTCAGTTGGGCAACTTTTTTTCTACTGTACTTTTCTAAATAAACCTACGTTTCTACGAAAACTGAAGTTTTTGTTTTTTTGCGGCTCACATCAACTTAAAGCTTGTTTATTTGACATGCTTGCCTTAAAGCATTTATTCACACAGTTTTCCCATAGCACTGTACCTTAGCAGCATCCTGACATGCGCCTAACTAGCAAAGCACTATTCCTGCTGTAATACATTCAGGTAGGATCATTAGGAAGCTCTAGTTACAATTCCATATTAGATATCAAAATAGTCTTTTATATTGGAACAGGATCGCACATATTAAAGGATTTACGGATCCCCTAATATATTTTTCCCTCCTCCTCATTTTCGCTGCTTTGGAAAATAACTTTTTGTTTCTATTTAATAGGCATTCCAAGTGGGAGGTAACCCCATTCTCTTATTTGATTATGTCTAATACATTAAAAAACAATGCCAAAAAAGAAATAAATACAAAATAAATAATGATCAGCTAATATGTGTAGGGAAAAGGGACAGTGTACCTCCTTAAAATATAACCTATACAAAGAACATAAGCTGTTACAGGGCTTTGAGTGTAACTATAAACGGGAAACAAGGGGAGTGTGAACTACAAAAATACTGAAAATGCTGATTTGAAAAGGATGCCTTTCCTCTGTACTTGACAGATGACATTGATAGGAGCTGCAGTTTATAGCAGCATAAGTCAACTCTTTCATACACCAGTCACGTGCGAACCTATAGTGAACCTGCTGATTTCCATGTGGTCATGTGACAGGTGAAGCATTTTAATAGTACCAGGTGGAACCATGAGTCTTCTCACATGTACAAGACTTCTCCACTCTAAAGCTGCTGTTTATTTGACAAAATTAAAGGGACACTATATTCACCAGAACAACTACAGCTTATTATATTTGTTCTGGTGAGTATAATCATTCCATTCAGGCTTTTTGCGGCAAAAAAACTGTTTTTTCAGACAAAAAGAAGTGTTTGCATTAAGGCCTACGGACACCTCCAGTGGCCACTTCTCAGATGGCTCCTAGAGGTGCTTCCTGGGGCAGTGCTGCACAGTGCATGGAGACACTAAACTTTACTCATAGAGATGCACTGATTCAAGCCTTGTCGATTTAAGCCAATCCAATGTTTTCCCTGTGGGAAAGCTTTGGATTGGCTGAGATCATCAATTCAGAGCCGATCGGGGCGGAGCCAGCACCTGCAGACCCATGGAGAGCTGGAAATAAGGTAAGCTTTAACCCTTTCTAAGGGGGCAAGACACCTAAATGATGGTTTTAACACTAAAGGGTCAGGAATACTTCTTTTTGTTCCTGACCCTATAGTGTCCCTTTAAATATTAATCAATTTTGATCTACATTGTATACAACATTCAATTGTTGGAAGATGTAGCTTTTCAGATGCCAATCTTCATTATGAGGTTAGTAAAAACACTAATAATTTTATTTGACGTCATACTCAGACTTTTTTATGGTATATTGACAGGTGAGAAGCCGTTCTCCTGTTTCCACTGCGGACGTGGATTTGCTGACCGTTCCAACCTCCGGGCTCACCTGCAGACACACTCCGAAGTCAAGAGGTATATCTGTCCAGGCTGTGGCAAGTCCTTCTCTCGAATTTCTCTTCTCTCTAAGCACCGTGATGGCTGTTGTTGTCCTTTGTCTTGATATTTGGTCTGGGCACTGCTTTATCAGAAATCTGAAAAACAAATTTTTATTTTTTTTTGTAGTAAGGCACAGCAAAGTTTACCAAGTGCCTCTGCCATAGGAAGTCAAATATCACATGAAGACATTTGGGATCATGGAGCACACTAATGAACAGAGGGCTGTGCAAGCTAAGGTAAAGGTCCAAGCTCTGCCCGCTACATGGCTTAATAGCTATTCCTCTGCCTGTGTACCCAAGAAAGTTACGTGATGCACCACAATTTAAAGACTTATTCCACATGTTCTCTTGATAAATGTCCAGTGTGGTCCACATGTTCTCTCCATAAATGTCCAGTGTGGTCTACATGTTCTCTCCATAAATGTCCAGCTTGGTGCCTTCTACATCTATCTAGGCCTGAAGACTGGCCATGGACTAAAATGTAGTCAAAACCAACTAATGGTTTGGACACCACTGTCTTCAAAGATAATCTCGACTGCCTATGCCAGAAGAGGCTTGGCAGTATACGCCATGACACAGAAATGAACAAAGTGTCACATGGCTTCTCTGATTGCCCAGTATTGTAATGAACCATGCTGTGAGAAGCAAGAGGTTCCATCTGCCAGCATATATGCAAGGGAGCAGCTAATTCCAGGCACATAGGACACATTTCACATGTAAGTTCTCTGAAGAAACTGGCACTGGGGATGTATATCAATGGTTAAAATCCACAAACTGGACAATGAATCAAAAACGAGACAAAGTCCAAAGCCGTATTTCAGTATTCATAGTAATTTATATTAAAAATAAAACTTGTAATTATCCAAATAGTACAACATTTAAACTCCCACTGACTGACATGGGGTTCTAGTTCCACAGAAGCTAGAATGAGCCATTGCCCTCACTTCACTAAATGGCTTATAACTGATTGCACTGTACCCTAAAACAATTACTTGTTTAAATGTGAATGCAAAAGATAATCTGTATAAAAAGGGTTCTCATTTAAAATAAATATTTTTATAGCTCTGGCCTAGACTGCTTCACTATGACTCTGGCTGTAAGCACAACACTTTTCCCAGAACTCTATCTATCTATCTAATCTATCTAGCTATCTATCTATCTATCTAATCTATCTACCTACCTATCTCTTATATGTATCTATCTATCTACCTACCTACCTACCTCATATGTATGTATCTATCTACCTACCTATCTCTTATATGTATCTATCTATCTATCTCTTATATGTATGTATCTACCTACCTATGTACCACCAAGGTTTGTTTTACTGTGGGTCTTTGTGCATTGTTCCCTTCAATGCAGACACAACTGAGAAATTATAGAAATGATCATAATTATATATGGAATAACAAAAAATATGAATCAATGTGTCAATACACTAACTAGCACATGGCCAAGAAATTAACTAACTAGAAAAATAGAACAATGTTTTGTATGATGTCACGAGTCTGATATTTGGTTGTATAGGGAGAGGTATTAGCAGTAGAAAGAGGGAAGTGCTCATGCCATTGTACAGAACACTGGTGAGTCCTCACTTGGAGTATTGTACACAGTACTGGAGACCGTATCTTCAGAAGGATATTGATACCTTAGAGCAGTGATGGCGAACCTTTTTGAGCCCGAGTACCCAAACCGCAATACAGGTCAACTTTTTTTTCCTCAAAGTGCGAACACGGCAATTAAACCTGAATACTGAGGTTTAAGTTTAGAAAAAACAACTCATACAGTTGTCCAAACTAATTAGCATATTCTGTTTTAACACAACAACAGAGAGTTCAATGGTACAATTTTTAAATAATGATATAAAATGATATAAATAGATAAAATTAAGCTTTATTTATTAGTATCTCCAACAAATGCAATACATACACACAGACTACTGAACACATTCACACACCGACTGCTTAAAACATACTGTAGCCGAGCAGCAATATTAAATCCCACGATCTCCGCTGGTAAAGAAGGTAATCTACAGTCAGCGCTGAAAAGTAAGGCAATATCCCAAATCCCCCAGTAACCGGACGAGACACAGTTCTGGGAGTCAACTGAGGTCTTTATTCACATGCTCCAGTATTTATGCAATTCCCCATGCAAAGGGTTTCCTGAGTCACATCACAGGGGTATTACAGGAGTGGACGACATGGGAAACTTAAATCACAGAGCATTTCTCCCACCATGCACCACTGTACAAGAGGGATACTCCCACTGGAATATCCTGTTAAGTGGATTATCCCTCCGTACAGCAGAACCGGCTTTTAACATAAAAATACATAACTTTTACAATACTTGGGTGATTTAAACGAATGGACGTTCGGTAGATAGCTGGGGTCTGAGCGCACCGTTCGTGAGAATACCGCTCAGCTCCCAGCTAAAATAACCGAACGCCGCACGAAATACACTTTGCCCATGAGTTCGTCTAAAACTACCGAACACCGTTGGGGAACTATAAAAGGGGAATACCGGAGCTCCCGAAGGGCCTGGAAGTCCAGCGGGGTTCGCGCCGTCGAGTAGCCGATTTCGGCTCCACGCGCTCGACGACCAAACCCCGCTGGTGAGACAAAGGATCCAAGATGGCCGACCGCCGCGTGGTCGGTAGCCGAACGACGGCCACCTAGGAAAGCCTTTAATCACCGATTGCAACACTCGGTTAACGAGCGCCACACGTCCCTCTGTGTGTGGGCTATTAGGGGGTAGCTCATTCGGTTCACGAACAGCCGGTAAAGTTGCTGTTCGTGAAACGAAACACATGAATGCTAGCGGCTTTCGGCTGCTAGCATACGAATTCAAAGTACACATACATTAACACACATTGTAAAGCCAGGTTATACAAGACATTACAGGGGTACTACAGGCAAGCTTTTTATGTGCACAGTCCTGAATATTACAAGTGGCTAGGTTTGCCACAATGCTCCCCCAGAACCAAGCCGGCATACACAGTCTGATCCCAACAGATCGGCTTGGGGATGTCCGGAGGAGAACTCACAGATCACTTCTCAAGTTCCGTTTGTCTAGATAACCCGTCGGCGTTACCGTTTTGTTTTCCCGGCCGATAATGGATTGTAAAGTCAAAAGGCTGCAGCGCCAAATTCCAGCGCAGCAGCCTGGCATTGTCCCCAGCCACACGGTTTAGCCACACCAACGTGTTGTGATCTGTGAGCAGGGAAAAAGGTTGTCCATAGAGATACGGCTGCAACTTTTTAAGGGCCCACACCACGTGGTAACAGTTTGCGGCTTAGATATGCTACGAGGTGTTCTCCGCCATCTGCTCCAACTTGGCTCAGCACTGCTCCCAATCCAAACATTGAAGCATCTGTGTGAACAAGAAAACATTTAGTTGGATCAGGAGCAGCAAGTACAGGTGCCTTAGTTAGAGCCGTCTTGAGTTGGTTAAATGCCTGATCACACTCTGGGGCCCAGACGACCTGTCGGGGCAGATTCTTGCGGATCAGGTCAGTCAGGGGTTTGGCCAGGGTAGTGTAATTGGGCACAAATTTTCTGTAATATCCTGCTGTATCCAGGAAAGCGAGCACTTGGGCCTTGGTCCTAGGGGTGGGCCACTTAGCAACGGCTTCAATTTTGTCTGGTTTGGGTTTTTGTTGCCCGCTTCCCAGCCGGTGGTCCAAGTACTGCACTTCTGCCATCCCTATATGACACTTGCTAGGTTTCAGTGTCAACCCTGCCTCTCCAATACGATCAATAACGGCCCCTATGTGTTGCAGATGCTCTGCCCAGGTCTGGTTATATATGGCGATATCGTCCAGGTATGCGCATGCATATCCTGGAACCCATCCAGTAGCCGATCTACCATCCTTTGAAAGGTCGCCGGGGCATTTTTCATCCCGAAGGGCATGACCCGAAACTGGTACAGGCCAAACGGGGTGACAAACACCGACTTAGGGATGGCATCCTCGGCTAGTGGAATTTGCCAGTATCCCTTACATAGATCTATGGTAGTGAGATACTGGCCTCTTGCCATCTAATCCAGCAGCTCGTCTATACGGGGCATCGGATAGGCATCAGACACCGTTTTGTTGTTTAGCCTCCGGTAGTCAACACAAAAACGTGTTGTGCCATCCTTCTTAGGTACCAGCACTACCGGCGATGCCCAGGGGCTATCGGAATGTTCAATAACCCCTAGCTGCAACATCTCCTCAATCTCTTTCCTCATATGTTCCCTGACTGCTTCAGGGATACAATATGGGGTCTGCCGCATAGGTACCTTTCCAGGGGTCTCGACTCGGTGAGTGGCTAGCGGAGTGTACCCAGGCAAATTGGAGAAGGTGGCTCCTTTAGCCGCTATCAACTCTTGTACCTGGGCTCGCTCCTGAGGGCTTAGCCGCTCCCCCAGTTGAACCCCCGTGGAGGGCTCTGTCTGGTCGTCCTATTCTAATAGGTCAGGTAGCAGCAGGTTCTCCTGATCCTCAGAGGCGGAGGCGCATATTGCTGCCACGTCCTCTATCCTCTCATGATAGGGTTTGAGCATGTTCACGTGGAGCATGCTTCTCTTCCCTACCCCTGAGCAGGGGCCAATCACTTAGGTGGTGTCACATCTCTGTTTCACCACCAGGTTTGGGCCTTGCCAGATGGCCTGCAGCTTGTCGGTGCGGACAGGTTTTAAAATCAACACTTTCTGTCCCACTTGAAAGCTGCAGTCTCTGGCTCCCCTGTCATACCAGCGGCGCTGTCGTTTTTGGGCCGCCTGGAGATTGGTGCGCACGGCCTGGGTTAGGGCCTCCAGGCGGTCCCTGAACTCCAACACGTAAGGTACAATGGGGGTCCCATCTGAACTACTCTCTCTCTCCCAATGCTCTCTAATTAGGTCCAACGGTCCTCTCACTCTTCTCCCAAACAACAATTCGAAAGGGGAAAATCCGGTCGACTCCTGTGGTACCTCTATATAAGCGAAGAGCAGATGGGGTAGAAATCGCTCCCAGTCCTTATGTGCCTCTCCAAACGTACGAAGCATCTGCTTCAGGGTACCATTAAACCTCTCGCATAAACCATTGGACTGGGGGTGATATGCTGAATGTACTATCGGCTTAATGCCACATATCCTCCACAGTTGTTGGGTGACCTCGGCGGTGAACTATCAGATTTGATCTCCTGGGGGAACCCTACCCTGGAGAATATTTTCATTAAGGCCTCGGCCACAGTTTCTGCATGAATATTAGAGAGGGCGATGGCCTCGGGGTACCGGGTGGCGTAGTCCACAACGGTCAAAATATATTTCTTACCTGAGGGACTAGGCTTGGGCAACGGTCCCACTATGTCTACTGCCACTCTACTAAACGGTTCTTTAATAATGGGAAGGGGGCACAATTTAGTTTTGTGGCGGTCACCCCTCTGCCCCACTCGCTGGCAAATGTCACATGAGTTGCAGTAATGCCTCACATCTTTGGAAATCCCTGGCCAGAAAAAGGCGTGGGTCAGCCTGTACCGGGTACGTGTCATTCCCAGACAAGGGAATATCATGCGCAATCCTAAGCAGTTCTTGCCTATACTTTTGAGGAACTACTAACTGTTTAGTTGTTACTGTGACTGATCCCCCTACTACTCTTTCCGCAATACGATACAGTAGCCCTTTCTCCCATGTATACCGCTCCCCCTCTAACCCGGCCTGATCTGTGCTCACCCTGTCTCTGTAGACCTGCAGCGTGGGGTCTAACTTCACCTCCGCCCCAAATGTAGTCGGGGTATCCCAGGTCATACGTGTCGCATGGGGGTCATTGTCTCTTACCTGAGCCTCAGAGTGTGTTGGTGGAACCGTGGTGTGAGCCTGCTGCCGGGTGGTCACTGGATGGGCTTCCTGGAGTGGAGCCTGAGGTATAAAAGCAGAGGTCATCCGGCCCAAGTAATTTCCTAGCACAACATCTGCAGGTAACTTCTGCATCAGGCCCACTTCTACCATCCCCTCCCCAGCACCCCAGTTCAAATGTATTTTGGCAGTGGGTAGTCGGTACCCGGAACCAAATGGGGTGCTACCAAAGTGAGGGTGGCTCCTGAAT